CAGCTGCCTGGTAGACCCATTCACCACTGACACCCTCACCGACAGCCTAATATCCAATTAACTGCAAGGGACAGGTTGTTCGACTCACGCTGCTTGCACTTTCAAGGGAGGCTCTCCATTATGCAGATACCAAAGGGTAACCTGGCAGTTCGCTGCCACATTCTGACTGCATATAGAGATCACAGATAGCTATCGATCACTCAGTTGGTGAGTTCGGAAAGGTTACACAACTTGTGCGTTTCCGGGTGTACTCACCACTAGGCAAGCATTCCGCTCTGTATGTCCGACATTCCTAAGACGATCAGATCCATCCCTGTAGCCTAACTCTGTTGTGTCGAAGTACTGTCGTGTCCCAGACACAAAGGGAGCTGAGTTCACGACTTGCACTTGCCTGCCACCGTCCACAAACCCGAGAACTGAGTGTCTCCTGTCCTTATCCAATAAAATGGTACCTACGCCAGGCGCAGGTGCGTACGTGAACACATTTGCGAGAGAATATGACGTCCGGATTGGATTGTGGGAAGATTGAGCCAGTCGCTCGGGTTTTGGAGCAGAGCAGCCCATGAACCAACTGGACGGTGGGTCGCTGAGTCCTAATATGTGAGCGATCAAGATGTCCTGCGGATTAAGCTGCACTATCACTACGCAGAACGCTAGGAAAATTCACAAGCATGCCGACTGTGTAGGTTAGAGGGAGTGGGCAAGTAGCCTGTGAAAAGTATCCAATGGGATGAGACGAAAACCTCTCGACATATGGCTGGTTTCGTGGACCGTCGACACAAGCAAAACGAAGACCTAGCTGATGTTTACGAAGAAAAAATCGATCGGTCTGTTGTGCTCACTATTTCTTCCACGTAGGTGGAATATGAGCATTGACCACATAGGATGAAACACTCCCTTGAGGGATGGAATTGATTGATCCGTACAAAGTTGCAATGTCCGAGCATCTGAATGTTGTCCCTGCTCCAGTGCCTACTGTCGGAAAAAAAGACTCACCGACAAGGAGCACAAGAGCTTTATTGTGAAAAAGGCCTCGCGCCATACATTGAGTGGGCACTGTTTGACCTTGATCCAAGTCTATCTCGTGCTATATTTTGAAGGGCATTGTCTGACCTTGATGCAAGGCTGTCTAACCGGAGTTCAGTGGAGCTTGAGAGTCTCAGTAGGCTTTGTGTATTCTGGGATGATCTTCAGGAACCTGAGCTAGCAGACAGCCAGAGGATGCCACAAACCCGAACCGGAGTAACTACAACCTTAATTGGCCAATTCTGGCAGCCAGTAAACCCACAGACAAGAGTGGAAGTTTTGTCACACAACATTACGGAATGGTGCCCCCCAGCGCGTAGTCTTTATTGGCCTAATGTGGGAAGTAGGACATGAGAAGTAGTTGACAAGAGACGATGATACCAGCACTATCTACTGAGAAAATGGAGAAGTAGTATCAAGTGGTAGTCAAAGGAAACTGGTCCTGGTGTCTTTAGACGGGGAACTAATCGAATGGGTTGGTCGATTTGAAAATCACGCAGCTGTAACTCTGTCCGCAAGCAGAAGCTGAGAATAGGACGAATAAAATGGTACTGTCATGATATTTTGACGGTTGTTTATTCACACTGAAGGCTGTTGTGTTTGACAACAACCTGCCAGGTTGTCAAGGGTTCCGTTCTGACAAACAGAAAAATGTAGAATCTGCGTACCTTGGGTACGTAATCAATCGATGGCCTGCCTGGTAGGATTAGGTCTCGAACAAGGGTAATGTAAAAGTGAGTGTCATGATTCGTGTAGCAGTAATCTTCTGCAAGTACTTCTTCAAGATAATGAGCATCGCGATGAACCGACAAAATCGGCTGACAACGCTACCGAAAGTCTGGAGAGATTTCCCAATCGCCACCCTTTAAAAGTCTCTATAGGAGGCGTGACGATTTCGTTTATCTCGCCTGTGTGATTACATAGGGTCGGTCAACAACAGTCATCGTCTTAAAGAGTCGATTTGATTGCTTACTCCTGAAGCCGAAAGCCGATTTCAAAACTCAACACGACAAAACGAAATTGGGAGGATTCGGCCTAGGTTGCGACAATGAAAGTCCACGGTTCGCACCATTCGCCGAAAATCGTTTAATGTTGTTGATAGAATATTTGTGCGATTTGAAAAGATCTGCTCTAAAGAACCTCCTCGGACTCTCGGATCATTCTTCGGAATTATGGCCCCACGAACCTCAATTTAGGGGTTCACACTGACTGACGCTACAAGGTCGAAGCAAGTCTCCATGCTGCTGACCGAAGGTCTGTCTAAACGACGTGATCTTCGCACGTCTACTCGCAGTTGCTATCGGCACAGTGTCCCTAAATACAAGTCAAGTTGTCTCAGCTACATGAATAGTGTTGTGCTGAGAGCCATCAGTAAAGTATAGGCGACGAACGGCTTGTTCAAAAAAGGGCTTCAGCAAACCAGCACGTCAGTGACCGATAAGAAAGTTTGCAGCGATGTTGGGCAGCCGCACTGCGCTTCCACCGGTTCGATTCAGCACCGTCCATAGTTCAAACACATCCTTCTACTTACATCCACTAAACACAGAAATGGTTCAGTTCGTGAAAACAAACTAACTCAGAAGCCACTTTCATCCAGGTGAGTGAGTCGGTTTCGCATAAATTTCCTGACCAGGTTCTGTTAGTCGACGCAACTGTGTGGATCCGGGACACTTGAAACACTTTGGTTGGTATGACTGACGTTTCGGTAAAGTGAGTGGAATCGCCAGCCGTGCTACTGAGCTGCGCTCTGTGAGAATATCGATTGAGAACCAATTTTCAGGAGCTTGGCACTCAAACATCACTTGACTATCGACAGGTTTTTAGCCTAACAGTGCACGCATTACCGTTTAAATTCCGTGGAACTCTCAGACAAAAATGAAGCTGAAAGAAAGTGACGAAGGCGGTGTATCTAGTGATGCAAGATAGCTTTGAAGTCATGCAATGCACTTTTAGGCGTAGAAATCAGATTTCACGAGACAACGGAGAGGAGAAACAGACTGTTTTGGATAAAGTATTTCCGCTGGATAATGAACAGTTGACCAGGTTGTCTTACCCCGAGGAACGATGCGCTTCTCGAAGCGAACGGCTTGTAATATTCCGCACACAGTCGTCGCAGAGGAACCATTAGTGTATTGGTAAAAACGCATGCCCAGTTCTCCACGATCATGCCCCGAGAGAGGCGTATGAGAGTGTTGTTGGATTATCCGTCACACTAGCTATACCTGAATTTCAAGTCCGCAACATCAGAAAAGCTTACTTATTTACTCGTGGTTCATATCGGGCGTCAGCGCAAGTTAGCCACATGTGAGCTCGAGATGGCTCAGTGGTTAAAGCGAGAATTTACAGACCATGGTTCGAACCCGACCTC